TTAAACAAATATGGTAAGTTTCTGTATCATTTAAATCTCATTACTGCTGAAAAATCACTATCATCAATTGAAATGTTAAGAAGTTGCTAACACTTTTGAAATGTAACAATATCACATAAAGCAGAAATATCACCTAACACTTCCTTCTCTGTAAACATCTATTTTTAAAATCTATTTGTTCATGTACTGAAGATTAGATTTATGGCAATTTAAACTCTTTTCTATTCTAACTAGTTTTGAATGTGTTTACTTTTTTATATTAACTTCCTTAGGCCAGACTAACATGACTTAGCTATTAAATATTAAAACAGAATATTCTCACATGAAATTATGCTCAAATTCCAGTATTCTCAAGTCAAAGCTTTAGTAAGTTATTGCCCAATTATTGAAACTCTAACTCTAATAATATAACCAAAGATAATTGGTTATATCCACATTTTCATTCATCTTTCACTTAATGGTTTAAGTGAAAATCTCAAACCAATGAACAAGTTTTGGCAAAGTAGTAACAAACTTAAGTTAGACAAGAAACGTAAAATAAAACTTCTATTATTAATCTATTGGTGAGTGACTGCTTTAGAATTTTACCCCTTAGTTTAATTGAAAAGTGAGGAATCTTTGCATTCCATGATGTTAACTGTTGACTCACTGATACTCGGGAGAGTTCTGCGAGGTAGACATCTTTAATTTAGGCAGTTAAAACAGATCTTTTATGCTTGCTTGGATTGATGAAAGAGAAAACTATTTACAAAAGCATTCTGTTTCTTAAATCAACACAACTGGGTCAATATTCCCTATCCTAAAGTTGATGAAGTTTTTTCTGATCAGCCTTATCTGTCTTGTCATTATCTTGACTAAGATTATTGGTTTCCCAGTGTAGTAGTATTTTTGGAGTTTAACACAGGATTATACAAAAGAAAAAGGAAGAATTCCAATCTCAGCAATTAATTCAACATATAGAATCCAAATAAATTATCTTAAATTGTATGATTTTAGGCATTAAGGTTTCAATGAAAGGGAGAATCTTGAAAGAGAATTTTTTTTACTCTCCTGCAATGAAATATCATCAGATATTTTGGGTTACTGAGGATTGTTGGCCTAATGATTTTTAGAAGAGTAACTGTTAAGTATCTTACAGCTTAGAATGTCTGGAAGATAGAATCTTTCCTTTTTTTTTTTTTAATTTTGTGGTTTCTTAAAAAGTCCTTCCCATAACTGTGAAGATATAATCCCATTGCTGAACACAATGACAAGAGGGACTTGGTTAAATTCCCTATAACGTCTTGAGCTAAGGAATGATGTGTTGAAACAATGGATCAGTTGAGCAAAGGAATGACGTGTTGGAACAGTGGATCATTTTGGAAATACACATCTGAAAGAATCAGAGAAGTGGACGTGTTGCATTATATCTTAATAAGGACATTCCCTGTATGTCCCAGAGGTGAGACAGAGCCAACAGTTTAGGGCCATCAAGCAGCAAAACCTTTGAAGCTACATGCAATGAGGGTCCATCACACTTCTTATCATCCTCTGAATAGACTGAGATAGGGAGGGCAGGAGTGGCTAGGCAGACTGCAGCACTGCATAGCAGTGCCAGGATCTAGCCAATTTCAGAAATGAGTGATGATGGCAAGTAAGGGACTATCTTAAGTGACAAAAGAGGGCTACCTCAGGAATCAGATGTATCAAGGAAAGACCTTGATTTTACAGCAATGGGCTACCAGAAAAAAATACAACTTGTACCTGTGCTATGAGTATCAGCTTAGACCCATGTGTCTGTTCAGCAAAATAATAAAATAAATAGCTTTGGTTTCCGTGGCACAGGAGAAAACCTTATCTTGTGGCCATAATTCTAGCCCAGGCTCCTTCAGAGGCATTCACACAACAAGGCCAAGCTATAAACTGAGCACATAATAGGAAGCAAGATACAGTTTCTTCCCTTGAAATCTTAGAATCCAGAATGTTAAATCTGTGCTTATTTCTTCATGATGTTAATGTTCCACGAATTTTAAAAGCTGAGTTAATTAATGTTTAATTTTTTTTTTTTATTGGGAAGGCAGATGTACAGAGAGAAGGAGAGAGAGATATATCTTCCATCTTCTGGTACGCTCTATGAATGGCTGCAATGGCCAGAGCTGTGCCAATCTGAGCCATGAACTTTCTGGATCTCCCACGTGGGTGCAGGATCTTAAGGCTTTGGACCAACCTCTGCTTCTTTCCTGAGTCATGGGCAGGAAGCTAGATGAGAAATGGAGCATCTGGGAAGCAGCACCCATATGTCTGTGCATATAGACAGAGGAGTAGCCATTTGAACCATCATGCTGTCTCCAATTAATTTTTTTTTAAGATTTATTTTTTTATTATTTTTTATTGGAAAGGCGGATATACAGAGAGGAGAGACAGAGAGGAAGATCTTCCGTCCGATGATTCTCTCCCCAAGTGAGCACAACGCCGATGCTATGCCAATCTGAAGCCAGGAGCCTCTTCCGGGTCTCCCACGCGGGTGCAGGGTCCCAAAGCTTTGGGCCGTCCTCGACTGCCTTCCCAGGCCACAGGCGGGGAGCTGGAAGGGAAGCGGGGCTGCCGGGATTAGAACCGGCACCCATATGGTATCCCGGGCGTGCAAGGCGAGGACTTAACCACTTGCGCCACTGCGCCGGGCCCACCAATTAATTTTTACAAAGATTTATCTTATTTTTATTTGAAAGAGGGCAAGAGACAGAGCAAGAGATCTTTCATCCACTGTTTCTTTCCCCAAATGGCTGCCAATGGCTGAACTGGACCAATCCAGAGCTACAAACCAGAAGCTAGAAGACTCTTCTATTTCTCCCATGTGGGCTTTCAGGGCCCAAAGCACTTGAGCCATCCTCTGCTTCTTTCACAGGCCATTAAACAGAGAGCCAAGTCAGGATAGAGCAGCTGGCACACAAATTGATGTCTGTAAGTGATACTGTTGTTGCAGCAGAATCTTGGCCTAACACACTGAGGTGCCAGCCACCCCCTACCTCCCAAATTAATTGATTTGTTTGAAAGACACAGAGAGAGGAAGAGAGACACACAGAGAGAGAGAGAGAGAGAGAGATCTTCTATCTACTGATTCACTCTCAAAAGGCCACAGAGGCCAGGGCATGGTCTGACCAAAGCCAGCAAGAGCTTCTTTCAGGTCACTCATGTGAGTGCAGGGCCCCAAGTACTTGGGCTATCTTCTGCTGCTTTCCCAAGAGCATTGGCAGTGAGCTGGATTTGTAACTGGAGTAGCCAGGGCTTGAATTGATGCCCATTTGGAATGCTGGCATTGCAGGCAACAGCTTCACCTTCTATGCTTCAGCACCATCACCTTCATAAACTTTAAAGACCTCTATGTAGATGAAAATCAATTTTGGGGGCATCAAAATAAGCAACTTTTAATTGCCTCTTCCAAGAACTCTTCGAAGTAACATTGTAGATGAAATGCAATCACGTTCAAAGGAAATATTTCTGGAGTGATCTTAAACTGAGGCAACACCTGAGTATGTACCAGGTGAGTTGCAGAGTCACTTGTCCAGATACAGTTCACACGTTTAAGCATTTGTCAATAGCAAAACTTGACACATTATGCTTGAGCTTTCCAATACCATTCTATTTGTCATTTTACCTCTAACATGGTTTCACCACAGCAAATCCAAGTAAGGCTGGTGACGTTGTGCACAATTATAATAGAAGTAGAATGGCTTAATTAGTAAAAAATTAACTGGCAGGATTCCTATAAGTTAAAATGTACATATTTAAGGAGGCTTATTGTAACATTTATACCCTTATTTTATAATATATTAATTCGAATGTAAAAGTGAATGTAAATTACCAGAAATTAACATGCAATGTGAAGAAAGTCCTTTTATCCTTTGCAACTGTAGCATTTGGCAGATTCAGGAATAAATAATCTTTTGTGGCAAGGGTATGCCTTATCAAACATATGCAGATCAGCACTAATTAATGCTAATTAAGGTTTCCTGTCTATCTAGTTGGAAAAACGTCCAAATGTTATGAAATCCAGTTAGTATGCCTATTACGCTAATTGTTTTATATGGGGTGGTTCTTAATTAAAATATGTAAATTGACCTTAATTGCTATATACTAATGGGGGTTCATGTTATCTCACTAAAAGTGACAAGATGGTGAGGAGGGGTACTTAAAAGACTAATTCTGATAAATCCTTAACTAAATGACCTTTATTCAAAATTAATTTTAATTGGAAGTTGGCAAAAGAAACATTTTTTTTGTTGTTCTTTGTTTCTTTTAAGTAATGGAAGAATGTTACTCTGCTTTGTTAATACAACTTTAGAAGCAGTTGTGAATTGTTAATTACACTTAAGTTAATTTCACTGTTTAGTGTTTATAATTATAAGGAAGTTATTGATATCCTCATTTCAGTCTTTGAAAAGGTGACTTTTTTTTCTCACTGAATGTGACTGCATAGTATTACAGGTAATTTGACCCAGTTAATTTGTTAAGACATGTGCTGAGATTTCATGAGCTGATAAGAATAATACAAATCTGTTAGTAATTTCCATTGAAGTTGGTTGTTAGGAAGAATATATCATAATTTTTTTTATAAACATTAACTCTTTCACAGATAAACAAAGACTGGTGATACTTAGAATAAATAAACTTGAAATGGTGGAATCACATTTTACCTGTTATGTTTTCATTATTTAATTGCAAAACAACTAAAAAGTATGTATGCCCAATGCCAACATTAATAAATTTTTTTTTCTTTTTTCTCTATGCTAAACCTAGGATTAGTAATTATTGGAAGTAATTTAACTAAGGCCAACAAATGTTTTATTTTAGTCCTTCATTTCCAAGCTGTATATGTCCCACTGTAACCTAGAGTATTTTAAAAATTCTATGAAAGCACGAGCAGGGATTTGGTAAAATATTGTCATGTGGAAATGAACATACAATAAAGATGACAGGTTTTTCTTTGAAAAGGACACCCACGATGTTTCCTCTCTCACCAGGACATTGTGACGAACGTTTCGCCCAGAATCATTCGGGGGACCACCTCTGGTCCTGTGTATGGCCCTGGACAAAGCTCCTTCCTGAATATCGAGCTCATCAGTGAAAAAACCGCTGCCTATTGGTGTCAAAGTGTCGCTGAACTAAAGGCTGACTTCCCACACAATGTAAGTGTGATTTAACATCTAAAACAAGAGAATCGGCATAAGTTTGTGAATGTTTATTTAAACATCCAATTCGTAGGCTCATAAATATTAATGTGTATAATATATTTTATTAAAGACTCTGCCAGTTGCTTTGCTGATGCATGGAGAGATAAAAAAGAAAGAAAAGCTCAAGAACTCATAAAAATTCGCACAATGTGAGGCTTTGTTATAAATGGATGCCTTGTAGATGGAAGAAGTATCTACATAAGCAGAAGGAAGAGAAATGAAAGGCTCATTTGATTGAGTTGGTTTTCACTGTATGTGGCTGGTATTTATGAAGGTGATGACCTTAGGATGAAATTGCAGACGATAAATCATTTTAGATATAAACCTAAGATGGAAGCAGAATCTCTTCTTATATAGTTTATTTATATTTGGGGGTTGGGAAATAAGTTGCCAAATAATTTAACACACATACTAAATAAGTCAACAATCTTTTGTAAAATCATTTTTCCTGTTGAAGAACCATGAACAAATGTTGCGATAAAATCAGGCTTATATATAATAGACACTTCAGTAGTCTGGTTATTGCTAATGGGATTCATTCATTTCCCCTCCTTCATCTTCTCTTTTCTCCCTCTACATATTCTTTCTCCCTCTCCTTCTTCCTCCCCTTGTCTATGAACTGCAGATGACTGCAGACTGTAGTTCTGGGGCAGTATATGTTTATATTATGAAAAAGAGTTTTGTACATGTGTCTTTCAAAGACAAAATAGAGTGTGCTTTTGGAGGAACAGTTAAAAAAAACGTTCCTGTGTCAAGTCCCATATCAACCTGTGATTCCAGATTCATATTAATGAATACCCAGCAAGGCAGTGCATAACATCTCAAGTACATCCACGGCTGCCACCCATCTAGGAGATTCAGATCAAGTGCTGGGCTTTTAAAGTCAGTTTGAAGTGTGAACCAGCAGATGAAAGCTCTGTCAGTCTGTCTATTTCTAACTGCCTGCCTACCTCTTTCAAATAAATACAAACAAATTTAAAAGAGAAAAGAAAATAATAAAAATTATGAATTTTAAATAGAATAAACCCATGTATGATTGCCTATAAGCAAATAAATGTAGGTAGCACACCATTGCCTTATTCATTAAGTCTGTTCTTTAAACAGCTTTAATTGACTCATATCTTTAAAAAATGCAATCACATAGAACACATTCAACTTATACTCCTCAACCAGTCCATAAAATGGGAAGGCAACTATCAGTACTCATCTAAAATTAATAGCTTGTGCTTATTTGTAATGTTTCTAAACATAATTTTGCAATCATTATTATTATGAACTAATACAGTTAATGCTATGTAACTGTAATGCTGGGCTTTTTGTTTTCTGTTTTTTGTTTTTTAAGATTCATTTATTTTCATTGGAAAGTCAGCTATACAGAGAGGAGGAGAGGCAGAGAGGGAGATCTTCTATTCAATGATTCACTCCCCAAGTGGCTGCAATGGCTGGAGCTGAACAAATCCGAAGCCAGGAGCCAGGCCCTGGCTCCCACACTTGGTGCAGGGTCCCAAGGCTTTGGGCGGTCCTCAACTACTTTCCCAGGCAGCAAACAGGGAGCTGTATGGGAAGCAGGTACTCTAGGATTCGAACTGGCACCCTTAGAGGTTCCTGGCATTTGCAACGCAAAGACATTAACTGCTAGACTATCACTCTGGGCCCTGGGTTATTGGTAACAGATCCATATCCTTTGAGAAAGTTTTCACAAAATGATAAAGTTAAAATGACCAAGCATAAAAAGAGTTATTGTTATGCATATTAACTTGGACTGTAGTGTTGAAAGCCATGCTAGGTGCTGAACATAATAATATTGTAGGCACTCCTTATAGACACTGTTTATACAATATATGTATATGTGTACTTTTGAGCTGTGCATGTTACTAGATATGCAGTATAATGTTCTCAGTTTCATAGATGTGGAAACTGAGGCTCACAGAAGTTAGACAGCATATGCAAGATTATACAATTTTGACCTAGCACAGTAGCCTAGTGGCTAAAGTCCTCGCCTTGTCTGTGCCTGGATCCCATATGGGTGCTTGTTCCCATCCTAGGTGCTTCACTTCCCTTTGAGCTAGCTTCTTGTGTCCTGGGAAAGCGGTCAAGGACAGCACCAAACCTTGTGACCCTGCATCCACATGGAGGCCCAGAAGAAGCTCCTTGCCCCTGGCTTCTGATTGGCTCAATTCCAGCTTAAAATTTTACTTCTTGTATATGGCGAAACTAGGATCTGAACTTGAAATTTGCTCTTAGCCCACGATCCTGATTCAATATTGTTTTGTTTTGCACATTTCTTTGTTGACTGTATTCAATACGACTATTTAAGGCAACCTAAAAATTTTATGGAATGTAATTTTCCAAATATTGCCTCAATAGTAGTAATTAGATAAGCCAATGTGTGAAAAACATCTTTTAACCCAACAATGGTTTATCTGAAACACACTTGATGCTCCCTGACCTCTCTTGGCCAATAATGGCCACCAAGAAATGAAAGGAAGTGGGCAGAAAAGCTGAAATGAAACACCTTGCTTTGTGATTAGATAGTCAAGTAGAAACAAGAGACATATTTTAATGTGCTTTTCAATTTCCCTGGCTCTAATTTCCTTCTTTTATAATGGTTGTTCTTCTGAGAAACAATGTGTGATTTCTTTTTTCTCCTCTGTTTAGATTATAATCACTAATCTTTTGTGTATTCTTAGAACTAATTTCTAACATTTACTCTCTGTATAAAAGGTAGCATTTTAAATACAATTAAAATGGCATTCCCGTTTGAACCTGAGGAAATAATGTGTGTGCACCTAGATATTGCCATGCTGAGAGGAGAATATCCCCCACTGTTTTGGAATTATTCTGACGCCAAACCCAATGAGCTGAATGAAAGTAGGTGACCCTTCATTTTCCAAGTTTAATTATCACTCTCACTGGAGTTTTCCCACATCATTCTCAAGTACGTGGCTGCCACCTTTAATGACAGGGATTGGATAATTCAACCCACTGTGGCAGCTTGTAAGCAAGGGCCAAGACTTCTTAAAAAGAAATGTGTCGAGGGACATTTAGGCCAGCTGATACCGGCTGTTAATGTCTCTGTTTCTAAAGAGTGTAGGCACTAGTTGACCATGAAGCAGAACAGATAGCTAAACATTGTTTAATTTTTAATATGTTTCATTTTATTTGAGAGGCAGACAGTAGGAGGCTGGCAGACAAACAGGAAACTGAGACAGGGAGCTCTCATACCCTACTTCAATACCCAAAAGGTCACAAAATGGCTGGGTTCAGATGGGTAGCAGCCAGGAACTCAATATAGATCTCCATGTGGGTGGCAGCAATTGCTTCCTTGTTACCACTACCTTCAGGGTCTAGGTTAACAGGAACTTGGAATCAGGTGTCTGAATAAAGTATGAAGCCAGCATACTCTAATATAAAATGTGGCATTTTAACCATTAGATAAAATAGTATTTTGGATACAAACATCACAAGATTACCTAAATATAATGTGTTTGTCTTTTAGCTATGATATATTTATGCAAATTTCTATATTTGTACTATATTTGTATTTCTGCTTGGTTTTCAAGGTTTTAGTTGTGAATTTTATTTGGAACATGATTATTGTAGTGAAAATTTAATACTGAACAGTTTTCTGACTAAGCTAAGATCTTGCAAAGCATATTATGAATTATACTGTATAATTAGTGCTTCCAGAAATCAATTTTAAGTGAATCCTTTCATTCTTACTGCAAAAAAACCTTGCAAGTTATGTATTTTAGGTTTTGTGATTTTTTTTTATCTTAAAAACACACACTGTACTTTGAGTGCCCTGAATTAGTGAGTAGGCATTGACATTTCCTGTCATTTGTGGCAGCTGAAGGAAAAGTTGGGCAGAGGTGGTGATTCAGCAGTGACCCAGCCTACAGGGGAAATGGGAATGACAGTTGCATGAGAGAAATGAATAAGGGAGGAACAGTTGATCTGTAAATATATTTTCATTAAGACACCACTCATTTCAGCTGAAACTCTGTTAATTGATGAGAGATCAACACTTACACACTAAGTTCAGATTGACTGGAGAAGTTGATCTTAAGCAGGATTCTTCAGGGTAGTTTATTAACCAACCTCCTGCTGTAAAGACAGAATTTGTAACCTCTTGTCTGTTCCTGTGACTCTTCAGACTTTTAGGCAAAGCTCAAGAGCCTCCTCCAAAGTTTTGGAAATATGGTAAACATATAGTATAATATTATGTGTTCCTTTAGTTCGGCCATTGAATGACATTGTCTAGTAGCAGACGATGTCGTTATACTGACGAGCAAACAACAATGCTATGATTCTCTGTTATTCCTGTTTGCCATTATGGGAGATCCGGGATACTAATATGACTTACTGCTTTGATGATTGAGGAATGATATTTTTATGGAATTTTGACACAAAATGAAGTTCTAATCCTTTTCCCTACTCAGTTCATAGATTTTCTGCGTTCTATAGAAGGTCCTATGGGCACCAGCTTACAAATCTTTGTCCTTGGCCATTAATTTTGAATACATATTAGAGTCTTCCTGAGAGCTTCAAAAAGTTCATGGTTAGGTCTTACCCTGTTTCAGTCACTTCATAAATCTTGGTATGAGCATGGTAATTACATTTTCATGTTTGTGTTAGTGCGTATTTCTGTGCATTTCTATAAAGCTCATCAATTGATCCTGTTGTACTCATAACCAACATTATGTTCCTTCATATATAATGCTAACTATAGATAAAAATCCCAGAACATTTTGTATTTCAAACATTGTGCCTTATGGGTTTGTATATTTGTGAAGTGGGAATTTATCCCATTTCACCAAGTAGGAAACTGGTATTTGGAACTATTGATTGTTAGATAGGCTTGGAGACTTTGACATTATACTTCAAAGAGGTGCATCCCATTTGCCCAAGTAACAGGGCAGTTAATGTACACTCTGATCTTCCTTATTCACTCT